TAGTTTTGCTCTTGTCAATAACCCCACAAGCACCACAACTCTTTCGCGGTCTGGAAGACTTACAAATGCTGCTATTGCTTACACAAAGTCAGTCTACTCTCTCTATCTGTCAGTCACAGACTATAACATTAGTAACCACTAATGAGTCAATAATATATGTCAGTGGTGTTAAGATTGCCTTTAAAAGATGTGTTTCAGAGCAGCATGCACTTCCTCTTGCCAGCCTTCCAGAGAAAATGCATAAAATGATTTTTGGTAATGAAGGGCAAGGCTTCACTGATTTGGACTCATGTGCTGTTGCTATTATGATGATTGGAGCATTTTGCATGAATGTCACGCTGCACCGGAGACAATGAGAATGCAGAGCCAGCATTACATAATTAAGGTGCAAACTACTTTCATCATCCATCCATGCACCTGTCAGCAGCAAACCCTTGGCAACTGATTATTTCCATAGCCATAAATGTGCTCTATAACAAAGGCTAACAATGCCATTAAACCAAGGAAGATAGTGGGCCACAAGAAGAACAATCGGAACATTATTAAGGGCTACAATAGCATCGTTTGTTACAAACCTTGTACTAAAGGTCATGGAGGAAAAGTGGGGAGAATGCAATGGAGATAAGTCTCAGGCAAGAAGATGGTTAGGAAGGGTAAACTTATCATTGCTGGTGAAGGGATTGCAAACAATGAGTTTAAAGGTGCAACACCACGTAACAAATTGAGACGTATGGATTGTTCTGCGTTAGTTTTTAGTTTTGAAAGTCATTGTATTTTGGAAACAATAGTTTTTGGTTTGGCACGCTGTGTGAATTCAGGCAATTGTAGTACATTCAGCACCCCAATTAAACAAACATGGTTAAGTATGATATGTGACTCAGGACAGAGTCTAATTTCCCAACTCATCTAAACCATTTCCATTTGCAGCTATGGAAACACAGCTTTTCAAGCCAGTTTCTCAGGAGATGATAGATTGGGAAATTAGATTCTGTAATTACATTTGCAATGTATCTTGAAATAGTTAATAGCACTCTCAAATGCTAAGTGAGATTAGCCTTGTCCGCTCTAATGCTCTTCAGTTGTGTAGAGTCAACACTTAATCGTTCCCAACCAGCGTGGCCAAAAAATGCATGCTGTAAGATATGAAGTGCTAAATAACTGGAGAGTGTAAGGAAAAAGCCTTAAATATCACTGATCTCTAAATAAGAAATTGCACACTCAGTAAGTTTTGTAGCCCAGCAGATCAAGTGACCATGGTCTTAGTGTACAATGTTCTGGTTCACACACTGTGTATAAGACCATACAAAATTCATTGGAAGGGGTGATTTGCCAAGGGTAAGCACATTCTCCAGAAGCATTGGCACAGCTTTTCCAAATGGCCTGTCCACGTACAGACAATGTATCAACTGGGACTGCTTGCCATATGCATGCACGTTCATGAAGAGTCATCTAGTTAGCTGCCTCTATGTCTCTTTTCCTTCTTGGTAGTCATCATTCCTTGACTTTGCCTGTTGTCAAGTTCTGTTAAATACTGGGGACCTTTAATTTATGGTTTCAGTTATGGCCATTTTTTCTGCTACCTTAGGTTCAGATTTACGGACCTAAAGGAGACATGACAATTAAGTTATTTGAGCCGTGTGGTAATTGGCTGTGCTTTATAATGAAGGCTCCTATCCCAAGCATACCCTTTGGCTATCAATTTGGATCCGCTATTCCTTCCCAACTCCACTACTCTAGTAAGCTTGAATTTTCTCAAATACCCACTAGATCAGGGCTGTCAAACTCGCGGCCTGCGGGCCAGATGCATCATGCACTGGCCACACCCAGTTTAGCGAAGGGGAACAAATTGTGATGTCACATGATAATGCCATGACAATGTGAGTTTGACACGCCTGCACTCGATAGTGGAGGATGGGTAAGGACCATATGAATCAGAAGCCCATTTCTTGCTATATTGCCTCTAACTGCAAAGAGCCCTTTTGAATCAGAGAAAGATGAATTTGGGAGAAGAAAAATGGGCTTTGTTCTCTGTGACATTTTTTCCTTAATCTTCAATAATTAATAATACAGTTGTGAAAATACAAAGAATACTGACTTGAGGAAGGAGTGGATTTAGGTTCTGCAAATCCTATAAACATCAGTGCTAATAGGAGTTGTCTCATGCTAGAAGCACCTGGCCACTCCTTATTTCCACATGTTATGTCTCCATTTAGATCCTGGCTTGCTTTCTCCTCTGCTCTAGAAGAGTTACAGATTGCATTATTTTGGGAGACAGAAGTTTCTCTTCATAACATAAGTTTCTCTTCAAAACTTCTGTTGTATGTAAGTTATAAAGTATATTTATAAATTATACATACTTTATTAGCAACATATTTTATACAAATGTACAATACATATCCATAGGGATAGGAAACTGTTATATAAAATGTGTTGGAAATTGAGCTTTTCTTTCCTCTGAAACGTCTTGTCACACCCTGTCAGCATCTACTTCACTGAAAGCTCTCTTCCTGTGAGCCTTGCAAACTCAGGAAAAGCAATAACTCCTTTAAGGAGGTGCTGACAGGTGAGTTGTGAATCCTATCCCATCTGAAGCACCCTTTGACAAGACCCTATTCAACTAAGATTTTGCTGATCCAGAACCATGTTAACCAGTAACCGTTTGTGCCCTTTTCCTGTGCCTGGCTGGCTTAAAGTTCTTCCTTTTTCAGCCAAATAGCAGCAACAGCTACTGATCAAAGTGGTAGCATGCTTTAAAAAAATAATAATCACAGGTACCAAATGGCTTTTAAGTAGAATAAAGAAATGAGGGCTTTGCAATAACTTATTTATAGCAGCTGCTGAGATCCCTCCTCCCCAATGCAACCGGAGAAATTCACACATTAGAGATGGCAAAAACACCTTAGTTTCTACTGCATGGGGTGTAAGAGGATTTGGGCAATTTCAGGAACCGCAGTAGCTTGGGGTGGGCAGATTACTAATAGTCCTAAAGAGCTCCCTGTTCATTGTCTAGATTCTAATGTCCACAAGCTTTACAATATTTGAGAGTTTCGAGTAAAAATAGTACCCTGTAGAAGTGCAAATCCCATTCAAAATCTGAGTTTCTATGTGGATGATGTGTACTTTTATCTAATAACGCACCAAATAGCACGTATCTGGCAAAACTGCAAAAACGCATTTTTAGAGAGAAGTCCATCAAATCTATATTTGATAAAAAATGCTAAATATCAAGGAGACATCACTTCTCACATTTTTCTTTTTGAGATTCTCCTCCTCCTATCATTTCCCCCAAACTTCCCCTTTTCAACTCATTCACTTTTCTGTGGTGACCTCCCATTTACTTCACATTATTTTAATGCCCCCACCCTTGCGTATGAAAGGAAAAACAAACAATTGGTTAAAAAGCAACCAGCTTTGATCAGCCCAAAGTCCCTCTATATTCCTGTTGCAGTACCTAGTTGGTGGGAGTTTCTCTTACTAGCTGGTGATGTGCTGAAAGGGGAGGCAGCAAAGACAAAGAAGAAAACCAAGCATGGTTATCATGATTGCCACAGGTAGAGCTGTGGTGGCGCAGTGGTTAGAATGCAGTATTGCAGGCTGACTCTGCCGACAGTTCAAGTCTCACCAGGCTCAAGGTTGGCTCAGCCTTCCATCCTTCCAAGGTCGATAAAATGAGGACCCAGATTTTGCGGGCAATATGCTGACTCTGTAAACTGCCCAGAGAGTGCTGTAAAGTACTATGGAACAGTATATAAGTCTAAGTCAAAGGTGTCAAACTGGTGGCCCGTGGGCTGGATGCAATATGTGCAGGTCACACCCACCTCAGCTCCGCGAAGGGGAAAAACATCACGAAACGTTACATGACAGCAATGTGATGCAGCCAGTTTGACACTGTGGTATAAGTGCTGTTGATATTGCTATGTACTAATCAAGACAAACCTTTAGAAATAATCTATAACAGATGCAATATATGCAGGTCAGGGACTGGCAATAGGACCAGCACATTTTATGACAGCATTCTTTTACTCAGAAGTGGAGGAAAAAATAAACAAAGATCTCTTCTTTCTCCTCCACTTCTGTGAATAACCAACTCCCAAACACGACTAAAGGTAAATTGTTCTCACATTCCAGGTCCACAACCATTTAGGTGATAAGCATTACAATTTGAATTTAAGGTTGTGGACACCGTACACATTGATCTCTGGAACCCCATATATCTTGTGCAAGGTTTGGTTAACATCTTGTAGGATGATATTGAAAGGTTAGGAGTATTGTGAACTAAGGCAGCCAGAATGGGGTAATGACAAGCCTTGAACTACTAAAACTTGGATTGCTTTGGTGAAGTTAGAATGATACCTGTCAATTCTGGAAAGGAGACAAAATATTAAATTACCTAAGAAAAATGCTGGTATTACTTCAGTTTCCCTCTATGTTACTTTTTCCTGGCAAAGCCATGAAAAGCTTGTGCTGATTTCAGTTTTTCATTTTTTTAAAACCACACAGGATTAAGTACTATAAAATATCAGCATTCATGAGATCAGATTCAGAAATGATGCAAGTTCTGGATCAATAGCCTGATAGTTGTGTTAAGTGTCGAATTAAGTGATATCAGTTCTACATATATAAAGCATTTTCCCAAGCTACTATAAAATCTCTAAATGATAACTGAAAAGGATATTCTATGCAACTTCTGGCAATTAAATATGTCATCAGAAAATGTTACTGTTGATTGGAAGATGGCATCAAGGTTGAGTCTTGGGAGCCTAAGTAACATGGAACTTTTGCAGCAACTCAATTTTAGTATTTAATGAGCACAGGAAAAGCAGATTAATGAAATAGACTCTTTATTGCTGCACTCATGCTTATATATTAAGCTCTTAAATACTGTATATAATTATGTTGCCATTCTGTAAAGCTTTACATTCTTTTTATTTTAAATAACACAAGGTTAAAGTAAATTCATAATAGTAAGAAGTCTGACATTTAAGCTTTTTACAATGAAATTAATAGCCAGGAAGACTATACAATAAATAATTAAGAGATCCATTGTTTTCCTAACTTCTTTGGATTTAAGAAAGGTGACTTTTCACCAAATGTTAAATAGGTACTACTGGTGCTTGTTTTTATCCACAACTCTGATTTATATCAAGGCAACCAACAAAATATGAGACAGAGCAAGGGGATAGCTCAACAAGGAGCTGTACTGAGAAGCAGCTTCCAAACACAGTAATACTGGTAATTCATTCTGAATTTACTTATAATTCTCAGTACTATGAACAAAGCTTTGTTCAGCCACCTTCATTGCCTAAAAGTTAACTGGATCTTCACTTGACAATATTTTTAAAAAGTCTTTTATTTAAAAAAAACCCACCAATAAGCAATTACTAGTAGTAATTTTCTGTGCTTATATCATGTTAACTTTACTAGATATTTGCAAGGAAGAGAACACTAGGATGCTTAAAAAAGCTTACTGTGCTTTGTTTTTGTTCCAATAATTTACTATTTCAAATAAAAAATTGAAACAGAAAAGGTTGTTATAATTTATTCCACTATGATGTCCATTTATTCACTGGAGGGGGCTTATAAGTTGGTACAAGAAACAGTCTAAAATATTTGCCAAAGATGTTTGCCGAAAAGAAATGTCAAGAAATCCAGCATTTTAGTTCCCTTGATTTTCCTCATAAAATGCAGGGGGAAAAAGATCCTGGCCAGGCTTTTATTTATGGCTTGTGAATAACAGACTATTTCCACATGCTTTTAAATAAGCACCATTCCTTTAAGAGGTGTGCTTTCCTTGGCATACTATTAGGAATACACAACTTCTTGACCTTATGTGTAAAGAGTTATCAGTGCATGGAAAACTGTGCTAGAGTCCAACATCATTTTTGTCACATCAATGTCCCACTAAAGTTAATCTATCAATGCAATTGCTGTAACACTTACTAACAGTAGTACCGTAGTATAGGAAAAATATTGCCTCATAAGGTCAGGGTAAGCCAAATGGGATTTAGTATTTTCCTTGTCAAATTTCTCTAATGACAAGCACATAATTCTAGGGTGGTTGGGTGACATAGAACCCTGGCTGATCTACTTACTATGGTTTCTATATTACGCACTCATTTTACTGCATTTCCCCCATCTCTCCCTTCCCACTTTCTGAATGGCCAGAATGCATTTTCCATCTATCATTCATATTAATTGAGCGGGTGGGGGGGAGTAACAGAGAACATAATGACCTGGACAGTGGTAAGACACTATTTACTTACAGACTAAGATCTTAATAATTGTGCAACATGTAAATATGGCATGACGATGCAGATTATGAAAGGTCAGGTAGAAAACTTGACAAATGTTAGTTCAGGGCACCTCTATCACTCTGCTATGCTATTCTGAATTTAGTAATTAAACTAATCTCATGAGTTATTTATATATACCCTAGATTTAATATATACAGAATGGGGAAACAGCACTAGTCTCATTTAGGAAACCTGCCAATTACATAGAGCCAGCCAGAACATCTGTTATCAACAGGTGATCATAGATATTAGAACTGTGTACATATGGATTACCTACACCTCACTGCATCCAACAAGAGAATGTTAAATTTTCATACAGCCCTTCACATAGGTGACCTTAATGTGAACTGACTTAATCCAAAGGATGTTTACCCTAAAATATTGCACTGTGTAGACTATGGCATGTGCATATATTCCCATCTGCCATTCAATATATCAAAGGGTAGAACTAGCAAGATGATACCTTCTATTGCCTCACAATATTGGGATCTGCACAAAACAAATGTATACCTCCACTGCAAAGGGAAACAATGCTCCATCGATCCATTGTGGTATCATGCAAGTAGAACACAGTCACTTGTACATACATACTCCATGCTAAAATTTGTGAATCAGTTGGGTGAATCCCCAAGCATAATAAAATCAAAGGAACATTACTATCTACAGATATGGTAAGCCTCCATGTCTCAATGTCCCCTACAAAATAGCAGGGGGGAAAAAGCGGGGGGAGTGCATTTGCACCTAGTGATGACAAAATATTTTATTTCAAGGATCAGAACAGAATTTTTTTAAAGAAGCAATTGGAGTTGATCACCTGATGAATAAGGTAGCTAGACTAGAAACGGGTCTGCTCAGTTCCAGCTGTGCACATTTGGAAGATTAGGCTGTAAGACTAACAGCAGGCAGTCCCAGCTTCTAGTCCACCAATTTCCTATTCTTATAATTCAGTAAAAGTTTTTATTTCCTTCTTTATCCAGCAGGAATGGCAATGTTCTGAAGGGTGGACCTATTTTCATTGGGCTTTTTGGGACTGCAGTTATACGCTAAACGGTACATTCATTACATAAAACATGCAAATCTTTCCTCAACAACATTAGATACACCCAACCATATTTTTAAATTACAGATTCTTCTGGGGACCTGTTTCCTGGAAGAAGAAAAATATTAACCCAGATGCAATAGTCAGTAACACAAAAAATAAGAGAAACTTAAATAAAATATAAAGAAATGGGAAAACCAAATAAGAGAGAAAAAGATGTGAACTTTGCAGAAATGAACTCTGAACTGATACTTCATATAATGACACAAGAAAATCTCCCAGCTTAACATTCAAGTCCGATGCTAGCCAAAAGATTATCCAGGGCATCTAATTTCTGGTTAGCCTCTTCAATGGCACTGTACGTTTGAACGTTGCTGGTTATGTGAAAACGGATGTCATCCACCAGAGGAATAGAATCAGTCTCCTGCCGCTCCTCCACGGCATCAGCATTCTCCTTCACGGCTGCTGCAAATTCCTCAAACTCCACTAACTGAAGAAACAAAAGACAGAAAATGGATAAATCCAGGAGAATCTTTATCAGACTGTTTTCACCTATGCTGTCAATGGCAACAGAAGTACAGTCTCAAGCGCATAATCCTGCAGCGTAGGAGTGCAAGTCGTCTAACCCTAAAAATCACTGTTTTCACCGGCCTGATATTGCTCTGAGAATATGATGAAACATATATCTTAAAAATGCAGCCTTCTAATGCTATAACAAAAAATATATAGTGATGGCACATATATCTTAAAAATGCAGCCTTCTAATGCTATAACAAAATATATATATATATAGTGATGGCACAATCTTTTAAAAACAATAGCTAAGGATCTTGGGATCAAACCTTGACCCTTGATCTTTTAGCCAGATTGCTTTTAAACACACAACTCACAGGGGAATGTTTGCAGCCTCACATCATAGAAAGTATTGTCTCCACTTTGTGCTTCTGTTTTCAATAGCTTCTTCTAATAAACTATAATAATGAAAAGGACTTCTTTGAATTCTGAACTCTGGGGAGATTAGTTCAATATCTCGTACTGACTTGGAGATGAGAAGGACAATTACAAAAAAACCAATTATTGGGCCTATGGCAAGCAAAATTGGGCCATGCTTGTTCCTATTTTAAAAAAATATAGGTGAGGAATTTTGTATTAGTGAAACTGTTAATTTGGGGGGGGGGTGCTTTTTCACAGACAGGAAAGAATTTCACACCTCTCTCAAAGCCTGTTAAGTAAAGAATGTTTCAACTTATGTGGGAGTGCTAATTAGAACCATTTATAACATCAGTGAATTGACTAGGGAACAGTGAATTTCACTAAGGAAAAATTGGTGCTGGCCAAATAGATTTTCCATATTCTATAACCATGTGTGAAATTGCATTGAAGGAAACACCAGCATTTCAGTCAAACACTGGTATGGATATCGATATCTATCTATCTATCTATCTATCTATCTATCTATCTATCTATCTAT